GGCTTTCACTATCCCTTGGGCTCTTGATGGCACACATCCATTGCCCTTGGACATCTCCAGTCCCACCCTACGGTGCTCCCTCAAATCATTTGTGCCTTCTACAGGAGCCAGCTGGGCTGGGGGTACTTTTCAGGGTGGGGGTCATTTTTGGAGTGGGGATCAGGATTTTCTGGTGTAGATCCTCACCACAGGGAAACCTCCTTCTCCTTTGAATCCTCCTACTCCCTCTCCAGTTTCTCCAGTGTCTGTGGGCCATGGGGAGGGCAAAGCAACACCTACAGGATGGAGCGGGCACCACTCACACCAAGCTCGCCCCCTGCCATGTGATGCCCATAAATTAACGTGGGCACAATCTCCATCTCTCTGTGTCCTTCTCCGTCAACCAGCGGACTTCAGAGTGGTGGGACCAAGGCAACCTCTCCTTGCCACCGTGGGGCAGGACGTCGTGCTGCCCTGTGACTTGTCGCCACGCATGGATGCTCGGAGCTTGGAGATCAGGTGGATCCGGCACCTGGTCTCTGAAACGGTGCACCTCTACCAACACGGAGAGGACCTGTATGGAGAGCAGATGAAGGAATACGCTGGAAGGACAGAGTTGGCCAGAGATGGTCTGTCCAGTGGGAGCCTGGACTTGCGAATCTCTGAGTTGAGACCCTCTGATGATGGCCTGTACGTCTGCACTGTGCTAGATGCTGCTACTTATGCAGAAACTACAGTGGAGCTGGAGGTGGCAGGTTTGTGGCTGCTGTGGTGTTTTGTGGGGGATGTTCCAGGTATCCCTGGGTTGTTGGGGATGTTCCAGGTGTCCCTGGGTTGGTGTGTGTCTCCAGGAGCTCTGTCCCATCCTCACATTCCTCCTTTCAGTGCCAAAGGCCAGGAGCTGTTGAAAGCTGTTTGGGTGTGAGGGGTCTCTTCCCATCTGTCTCTGCCCAGGACGGAGCATGCACGTGGTCCTGGAAGTGTTTTGGGGGCAGAGTAGAACAGACGCAGTGGCTTTAGCTCTCTGTGGTGTCCTTGTGGTGAAGTGTTGGTGCAGAGACCGTGCCTTGAGAAGCACTCGCTCCTCTGCTGGGCTGTTTTATGGGAGATGTGGGGTCATTTTGCATCAGGGCTCTCTGGTTCCTGCAGAGGCCTGGGGTTCAGTATTGGCCGTTGATCTGGGTCCATCCCTAAGTCAGGGATTTCCCATGCTCTTCCTCCAGCCTTGGGCTCTGTCCCTCTCCTCTCTCTGGAGGCTTACAAGGATGGAGGCATCCGGGTGGTGTGTCGATCGGCCGGCTGGTACCCATCACCAGAGGTGCTGTGGAAGGATGGCAGTGGGCAGCATCTCCCCTCAGTCTTCCAGAGTCGTTCCCCTGACGAGAGGGGCCTATTTGAGATCCATGATGTCACCGTTGTGAGCGGGAAGGGAGATGGGAACGTGTCGTGCGTGGTGAGGAACAGCCGCCTGGAGCAGCAGCAGGCGTCGTCCCTGCACATCTCAGGTACAGGATGGCAGCAGGGCTGGGGTTGGTCGTGCTGCTTGAGGGGGTTTAATCTTGGGGGGCTGGAGAAA